CCCCAAAACCCCAAAACCCCAAAACCCCTCAATTAAATTTATTACCAATATTATTTATATATACCAAATTATAATAAATTCAAAATCATTAAGTAATGTCTGCTGAATTAAATTTCTCTGGATAGCAATTAGAAGTATTTAAAGAACATAGTTTATTATCGAGCGATGTTATGGATCTAGACTTAAGCAAGAACCTACTCTAGCAAATCCCTAAAGAGATATAGCAGAAATGGTAATAGATCTATTTTTAGATTATTTTTTAGCATTAACCTCATTGTCTTGAATCTCTCTCACAATAAAATCTCAAAGATTAGCAATTTAAGTCAGCTTAATCAACTCAAATCTCTAATTCTATCATCAAATAGCATCTCTCTGATAGAAGGTCTTGAGTAACTGTAAAGCTTAGAATTACTAGACCTTAGTTATAACTAGATTTCAGTTATTGAAAATATAGCAAAATGCTTGGAATTAAATAGTCTGTCATTAGCTCACAACAACATAAAAGAAATCGGAGATCTAAGCGAAAACATAACACTTGAGGTTATAGATTTGAGAAACAATAAGATAAAAAACTTAGAAGATATAGATCTAAAATTTCCAAGTAGCTTGAAATCTCTTTATCTTCAAAGCAATCTTATTGGGGACATACTTTAGCCAAGATTAATCAATTTTCTGGATAATATATCAATTGTCAACTTGAATCAAAATCCTATTATAGAAAAACTAACAAGTAATGGCATTGATCCAAAACTTTTCATACTATTCTTGCTTAATAATAGAGTAAAGAAGATTAATAATGTAAAGATTACTGAGCAGGATAAGCTTAGCTCTGATGGATTATTCTTTGATGCTAATGGAGTCTATAACTAACAGTTTGCTGATAGTATCTTAATGATGTCTAAGTCTGAGGAAGAAGTATTTTCATTCTTTAAGTCTAAACTCAATCCCTTACCAAAGGGTAGAGATAAATCTGCAGAGCCAAAGTAAAGAAGCAAATAATACATATCACCTTCATAAAAGAATGTTAAATCTTTGCACCAAAGTTCTCACAAGAATCTAGTTATTATTTAATCTGAAATGAAAAGCCCTAGAATTATTGAGGAAAAAAGCTCTGATGATGTGAAAAGCTTTCTTATGAAGAATAGAAACCAGGACTAAAACCTAAATAAGTTAGGAAACAGTCATCAAAACTCTCAAAATCATTTAAAAATTGCAAGCTAAGAGAACTCTTTAAGAAATTCTGATTAAAACTTAAGAGAAAAACTTTTAAAGTCAGAGATAACCTAATTAAGAGAGGAAGTTTCATCTCTAAGGACAGCTCTACTGAGTTTAGAAGAGAAATATGATTTAAATATAGAGATCAAGAAGAAAAAGCAAGCCTAAAAGTTCAGGGTTAACAAAAATGGGCAAATTGCTGATTTCCTCAGAGTAAATCAAATTTCTGTATCTGGATTGAAGAAATCTCAGGCATTACCGAAAAACGAATTTAAGATTACTAAAGTCTAAGCCATAGTAAGAGGTGCTTTAGTAAGGTAGAGATATAAACTATTCATGAAACAACAGAAAAGCATTGTGAAGATTTAATCGTTATTTAGAGGTATAATAACGAGGAAAAATCTCATTAAAGATGGTATGAATGTGAAGCTTAAATAAAAGAAGGATGAGCAGTAATGCTGTAAGAGATGTAAGGAGAGAGATCAAGAGATGCTTTTGTTGATGTAAAAAATTGCAACTATGGGTGAGGAGATTGAAGAAAATAAGTAAGCTAAGCATTCTCACGATAAAGCTTTGAGATATTTATTTGATTAGGTCGCTTCACTCAGGTAGGTTATCTCAGAAATATGACAAGATTTATTATATTTTTATTACTGTGATTAAATTAAAGATAAAGATCTTAACTATTGGGGTTTTGGGGTTTTGGGGTTTTGGGG